TGCCCTGCCAGTTTCCCCGCTGGTCAGCCCCGAGCCAGCTGCGGACAGGTCGCTCTCCACCGTTTTCATGGGCAAAGCCTCCGGCTCGCCTGGCATCAGCCCTTCCATTTCCTCCTGGTGTGCAAACACCGGCATTGCCACGGAATGAGCTGTTAGATGGAAATAGCAGCCTGGAGGCTGGCGTGGAAAGAAGCCCTGAACACTTTCCAGCGGCGGTTTCTGCAGTTCCTAGAATCCGGATGGTGGAAGCGCTGGCTTCTTGTCTGGGATTTACTCTGTAAAAAAAGAACTATCTGGGTTTCGTTTTGTGTGTGTGTCCACCCTCCCTCAGCCAGACTTGGGGAGCAGAGCAGGCGTCTGTGGCTCCTTTCCTCATGCCCTGTGTGCATGTGTCTGCCCGTTTAGTGTCTCTCAGAGCAATTGGGATCGCCGAAGCCCTTGGCTTTCCTGGTGACTTATGATCTTTTACATGAGGCAAGGAATAAGGAGTACAAAGTGCCCATCTGAACCTTCCCTCTGGCCCCAAACCTTTGGTGAGGACGTAGGGTGGACATAGGCTCCAGGCCCAACGCCAAGCTTGCTCCTCCCTTACCCACTGCTACACAGGGCCGGGATGAAGGGATGATGGACAGAGAGGTATCAGCTTCAGAGCAGCTCCTTAATAAAGTCCTCTGGCCTCGAGTGGATATAGGGAAGGAAAAGGTCTTGCCAGTGTCTTGATAACTCTGATCTCTCTGCTCTTAGCTCTCATTCGGGCTTTGAACGCCCTGCATGAACTCTATGTGTATTTAGGTGTCCTTGTCTGCCATCAACACCAGATATCATATTCAAAAGATAAAACAAAAGATCTCTGACCTAACGTGTCCCTTCCATCCATGCATTTCACACTGCCTCTCCCTCCTTCCTGGAAAATCAAGCAAAAGGAGAATGGATCTCCTTGAGTATAATCACCGCTGCCTGCTCCTAAGCTGCTTACTGGGGGCGAGGAGCAGAAGTGGCGTTTACTTCACTGGCAGCCCCAAGTGAACTGAACAAAAGCCATTAAAGATGAGTTGTGCAAATTGTAGCAAATACAGCAAATCTTGGCTTCCTGGTATCCTGTCAGCACCTAGGTGTATTTCCTGGAAACCCAAATCTGCTGCTTAGCTTAATAGATCTCCCCCCCGCCTTTTTTCACTTTTAACTCGGAGGAGTCCGGAACTCATTTCAGGAAGCGTCAAGGCCAGAAAATCCTGGTTTGTTTATGTACATAAACAGCCCTGGGCCTTAACACACTTTTCTCAAGCTGAGACCTTTGTGGTGCTGCCAGAATGGTCCATTAAGCCCGAGCACCTGCGTAAACACAGCAACACTTGCAGCGAAGGCTGCGCCGCCGTATCCGTTACCCTAATCCCCAGCCATTGCAACAGGAACGCCGTCCCCACTCAGATGTGGCCAAAAAAAAGAGAAATCAAATGAAGAAAAACTTGTCTAAAAAACAGAGCAGGATGGGAACCCGCGGCCCTGCACCTGCTCGAGCTCTGGGAAGCTGCCCAAGGGAGATGGCACCGAGCGTCACTGGGAAAGCTGCTCATGTGGAGCAAGAGCTCCCCTCATCCTCCCACCAAGCCCTAGACGTCCCCCAGGGCCTTCCCCCTTTCCATTCCTCCCCCATTTCATTGGCAGCATCGCAGCCAGGGCCGCAGTTTTGCTGCACCCTTCCCTACGCCTTGCTCAAAGTTATCTATAATCTGCACTAGCTGCTCCCAGCCTAGAGGTTCCTCCCTCTGCAGGTGCCCTTTGCTTTCCCCAGCCCGTGCATCTGGTGCAAAAATCTTCCCAACTGTTAGATGCTTTCTCAAGACATCTCCACATGCTGCCACCTCCAGACAGCCAGAAAAAGGTCAGAGAGCCCATCTGCTGCATTAACACCCCTGCGGACTGAAAAATGAGTTCCTGGGAAGAGGCTGGAGATCTCATGGATTTAAAGATCTAGCTCCCTTTCTTTTTCCTCCCCTCTCCTGCCTCCTGCTTGTAATACACACACCAGGAACAGCATGAGCCCCTGTTGTGCCTGCAGTTGTACGGACCCCATTAATTCCTGTCTCTAATCCTGAAAGAAAGTAAAAACGCAGGTGAAGCATGTGGCTGAGCAACGATTTGGATGGAGAAATGAGGAGAGGAAGAACTGGCCGTGAAAATAGCCGGGGGGAATAGAAACAGGCGCAGATGGGGTATGTGTATCCCCTGTAGGTAATCGTGTCAACGCGTCGCAACGTGCCTGGTGATGCCCTGTGTCCATTGCAGGCGCTGAGCTGCCAAGAGGCACTTGAAGCAGCACTGTGAGAGATAATGAAAAATGTCCATGTCCTACGCTATGCAAAGTGTATCAGAAGGTCTTAGTTAACTTCGGCTGTGCGAGAGGTTTCCCTTTCTTTAAAAGAAAAAGTCTAGGTCACTTTTAATTTGTCCTAGATAATGGTTAAATGAGTAGACTCAGTCAAAGATCCTGTGGCTGCTTCTCACCTGGAAAATGGTTGATGGAAGGAGGGGGAGACGGTCCCAGCCTCTGGAAGTGAGAAGGGCTGCGCTTTCCGTTGCTTCCGTAGCCCAGGCAGTGCTGTGGATTGGCACCCACGTGCTCGCCCTGAGGGCCCCCATCCCGGGGGATGCCCCCGCGCCGCGGCATTTCTTCGGCACTGTCCCCACTGCCATCAGCGTGAGGAATGGAGAGAAACGGGAGCCAACAGCTTCGCGCCTTCCCTTCGACTCGCCGACTCCGGGCAGCTGCGTGGGAGCTGCAGTTTTGCTCTGGAGCCGCCAGTGGCAGCGTGGAGGGAGCGGAGGGCTCCGCAGGCTCGCACGGCTGCGCCTGCTGCCGAGGGCAGATGCCGAGGGGCGGGATGCGGCGCCTGGCTCCAGGCCTGGGCAGCAGCGGCTGCGCTCAGACCCCGTGCCCGTAAATCTGGGGTTTAGCTGGGAGGTAGCCGTGAGAGGGAGGTGTGTGTGTGTGTCTGTGGGCGCTGCAGATGCGGCCGGGCGCGCAGGGGCACCAGTGCTGCACTCGCAGCTCCGGATTTGCCACGCGAGGAGGGAGCTTTGAAGCCAGCAGGGAGCACCCTGCGGGGCCAGTGCCACCCGCCGGGACGTGCAGGGCACCGAGACTGGCATCGGGCTCTAGTGCCGGCTCTGGGAGAAGTGGAGCCCGGCGACGTCTGACACGTCCTGCTGCCGGTGCTGCTGGTGCTGCTGCGATGGGAGCTGATGGGAGCTGCAGCACCCGCTACTGCTGAGTGCGCTGCAAGGCAAGGTTATCTCCCCTGGAGCCGGGCAGCCCCAGAGGCTTTTAACTGAGGGGAAATAATACGTTAACAAGCTGTAATGAGGGAGCCAAAACATATACATATATATACATATACATAGGAGTAATGGGAAGGAAGGAGGGTTCCCCGCATGGTTTGCAGGTGACTCGTGAGCCCTTTCCTCAAGGCGAGCTCTAAATCTGCTGTGCACTGGCCCAGCCTTGGGCGCGTGTGCCCACGTCGGCCGTCTAATAAGCTGTTCCTGCAGCGATGCTGCCACTTCTGTCATAAATTCAATGATCCTCCCTTTGCTGATCATTAATCTGCTTCGTTTCCTGACAATTTTATACCCTCTTGATAAACTGTTTGTCTAAGCGCTTGAAAGCAGCAATGTCACGAGCTGTACCTAAGGCATTCTCCTAACTAATGAAGAAAATCCATCACAAGAAGGGTTTATCTATTTCTTTGCTGGATGTAAATAAAATGCTGGGCTAATTTACTCCCATTAATCTTAAAAGCTGTTGCTGCAATGCTATTCCTATATTGGAGTGGATTTTTTTCTTTCTTTCACAGCATAAATATTTAAACAAGTACCAAAGGCATAAATAAATTGCTTTCTAAATGCCAGATTATTCTCATATCCAGTGATTTAGCAATAAATGTGGATTTACTTGCTAGCTCTTTTACTTCAGATGGTTGGCCCTTTCAGCCTCTCTCCGAGGCACATCTCCATACATGGCTCCTTGTCAATTCAACAGCGGTAGTTTTTATTATTTAAGTGCATGAATGTTCACAGATGTTCCCACATGTGTGTTCAGCCGGCAAACTCACATGGTACAAATAAGGAAAGGAGGAAATTCAGGCCCGCAGTGGGACCAGTGTCCCTGGCAGGGGTTGGCTCTGCCCGTCCCGGCTCCGGCGCGTGGCTGGTGGGCAGGGAGACGGTGGAAACCCACAGCCCTCCATGAGCTGCTCCTGAGACCCAAGTGTGGGCTGTATGAGGAAAACGCTGGAGAGGGATGGAGATGTCCTGAACCAGCCGAGCCCTTTTATCTCTCCCATTGGTTTTGCATTTGGAGTTTCTTGCAGCCCTGACGCTCGAGGACCTGTTTAGCGGGGACTCGGTGGTGCCCGGTCACAGCGGCCCTCGCTGCCGAGCCGCTGGGCAGCACGTAGTGAGATGACAGGGACAGGATGGGTTTTGCCAGAGATGCCAGCCCGCTCCGAAGCATCTTGTGCTTCATGGCCTTTGGTTGGGATGCTTTTGCATTTTCGTTAAAAGATATTTCTGCAAGCTGTAGGAGAAGTTTCATGCAGACAAGACTTGGAGAGCAGTCGGAGACGATTTTAGCAGAAAGCAGGGCTTGGAGTTGCTCTGTGTTTTAAGCCTCTCATAGTTAAAAAAATAAAAAATAAAAGAGAGAAAGATGTAAACTTCCAAATCCCACCTTCAAAATGCACCTTGGCAGCGGAGCAGGCTGCCAGGCTTGTCGGATTTCCCCGCCTGGGGCCCAAGGACTCGCTCAAGCCACCAGCACCACAAGGTAGCGGAGAGCAAAGCCCATGGCAAACCAATGTCTCTGCTCTCCTTGTTTTGGAAACTATGAAAAAATTATTAAAAAAAAAAAAAAAAAGAAAAAAAGGAAACCCTCTGAGTGAGTTCCCTGAGCTCTGGGCAATGCCGCTTGGTCAGTCTCTCCTTAGGATCTCCAACATCTCTCCAGGAACTGCTCAAGCCTTCAGGCTTCAAAGCTGATGGGGGGACAAAGGCACCCCAAATCTCACTGAAATGCAGCTCCTTTGCCAGCTCCATATGTAGATTGTTGATTTAAAATATTAGTTAATGTTTTGGTCGACCCTTTGTGGGGTATTTCAGGAGCAGCGTTCTCCTCCTCTTTCCTACCTACTGGGCTCCCTTCTCCAGGGTGCCCTGGGAAAGTCCATCCTACCAAAGGGGAAGGAAGAAATTCTGAAGAAGCAGTGGCTCATGTTTGGTTTCCGATCATAAAAGAACCAGGGGTGCGAGGTATATTTGTGGTTGCAAGGCGTGCGTTCGCCCGGGCGCCCTAGGGCGCCGCGGTCTCCCTGAACAGGCCCAGGTTGTGCTCCCGGAGGTAGCGCAGGAAGATCTGCGCGCGCCTCTCCAGCGTTTGGAGCAGGGGTCGCAGGCCCTCCGAGCCGCCCTGGCTGTCCCACAGCTCCCGGTCCACGTACAGGGACCTCAGGAGCATCTTCTGCAGACAGCCGGACCTGAGCACGGCCACGGCCGACTCCGGGAAGCTGCAGGAGAAAGGGAGGAAGGAGAGAAGGAGAAGGGTTATGTGGGAGAGGTCTGGCAGGGAGGAGAACATCACCCCTTACCCATGTTCGGGTTTGGATTCCTTTCCTCTGCATGGTACGGGAGTTCTGCTGGGAATGGGTGTCTTGCTTGGACACACAGGTGTGAGGAGCGATGTCCAAAGCTGTGCGGTGCCCAAGCAAACAAGTGTGCCCCAAAGAGCCTCACACACCAAGCCCGCTCGCAGCACGGCCGCAGGACGTGGATCCAATTAGGAATGGATCCACACGAGCGCCGAGGCAATGGGCCGATAACCCCTCAAACACGTGCCAGGCTCTGGTGCAAGAAATGCTGGAATGCCTGATTATTGATTATTTTTGCTCGGCTGCCAAGGAGTGGGAACAAAATCAGACGCAGGGCTTGGGATGGTGCCCCTGGCCAGGCCGGTGCGCGGGAGCACATCCGCTGGGAGCACGCACGGGCGCGCAGCCCCGCTCCCGCCTCATCCCGGTTTTCCCGCACTGGGACCCCCGTTGGCTCCGTCCTCGAGCGGTGCCAGCCCCGATTTGTGGTCGCTCCGCTCACCTATCGATGCCTTGCAGCAGCCTGAAGTTGAGCTTCGCCTCCGGGTGCTGAGGCCGGCCCGCGTTGTCGATGAACACAAGGCGCGAGGGCGCGCTCCTCCGCACCTGCGCACAGAGGCCTCCTATCAGGGGCGGCTTTTCGGGAGTTTGCTGGGGTTTTTGTTTTGTTTTTTTGGCATGCAGGGTTTTTCTGATGGCCACAGATGGCCTCCAGTGGAGGAGCACCAGCATCCCGGTGCTTTGGCCCACAGGCTGATGGCCACATTACCCTCCATGCAGGTCTCCACCCTGCACGTTACTGCACACAGTGCTCAGTTTTGCACATCTGTGACTCAGCTGCCACACACCTTTCCTCTTGTCCTCCCCGTTGTATGGGTTTATTGCTGCCCAGGGACAACGCTCGCTGGCAGCCCGCTGCTCGCTCTCCCAGCAGGAAAAAGCTCCCACCATTTGGGCGAGGAGCTGCTGCTCCTCACAGCACCACGCTGAGGATGCAGCAGCTCCGGCTGACGCACCCGCCACGTGCATCCCCGGGGATGTCACCCAAGGGCGGCAGGACGTGTCCCTACCAGGATGTGGACCAGGGCGAGCTCCGCGGGGTTGCGGCACTTGGCGTGGAGCATCTCCTGCACGCAGGGCTCCCCCGGCTCCGGCTCAAACCCGCAGCAGTAGCGGTCCAGGCGGTCGTGCACCTGCGGGCGACACGCGGGCTCCTTAGCGGGCGCGGATCCCGCCGCCTCCCGCGCGTCTCTGCCCTGCTCATCCCTATTGGGGCAGACTGAGCGCGCTGCCAGGCAGGGGCACACAGCAGGGAGTGAAAACAAAGAAATAAATAAAAGCGAAAAGAGGATCTAATATTTGAAGCCCGAAAAAGAGATTTTTCTTGGTCTGACTCTTGCTTCACCAGATGATGGTTTCAGCTGGCTCCCTTTTCACATAGGCTATTTCACCCATCCTTACCCGTAACCTGACAGCTCCCAGTGAACAGAAGAGTAATGGAAAAGGATCAGTAAGAGAAAAAGCAATTTATGCTTTACACAGAGCATGCATGGCACCTACAAGTCAGGCCATGAAACCTTGCACTAACTATATATGCATTTAATTTTTTGCAGGCGCTGTTAAACCTCCCTGTCCCTGAGGCTGTCAAGCCAAACACAGGCTCCTGCCTGTCCCTGCTCCTTCCCTTACTGCAGCCGTCGCTGGCAGCTCCTGCATTTGCAAACCTCTGAACTTGCTGAGCGAAAGGGTGTGAGGGAGATTCTTCCTCCTGTGTTTAGACTCAGGTTATCGACACCCCTGCTAGCAATGCCCCTGAACCAGCAGAACAGGCACTCGCTGCTGGAAGGAACAAGAGGCAGCGACGTCTGGCAGTAATTAAGATATTGGACATGGCAAACGGAAGCCAAAGGGCTGCCTCCCCTCGGAGGAGACCTGTGGAAGAGGTGGGTCCCTGAGACCGCTGTGGATTCCCAGGCCCTTGCACAGCACTTCCATCCATGCCCTTGGGCGAAAGGAGGGGAGCCTACTTTAGTTCAAGGCTCGTTAAGATCCAGCTTTAATGATCCTGCCTCGATAGCCATTAAGCTCTGTTAGTTTAATAGCTCTGATGGCCTATTCAGAACACTGCAGCAGGAAAAAAAGCAGATATCCATATATATGCATATATATTACATTTATGTATTATATGCATATTATATATATATAATGCATAGATTATATGTATTATATGCATACATACATACATCTATGTGTGTGTGTGTGTATGCCCTGCAGACACATTACGCTTCCCTGGCAGAGGTCCAGGAGGGAAAAGGAGGGAGGCCCGTGGAGGTCTCCCGTTCTCCTCACCCTGATATTTAGCAATGGCAGCAGGGCTGGGCTTTGCGAGATTCAGTCTCAGGCCCAAACACTGGGGAAAGCACTGGGGAGAGGGGTGCATGAAGCACAAAGCTTGATTTCCCTGCCTGTTCTATTCATAACTCACTCAGAAGTGGGATGAGTCCCCTGCCAGAATTCCTTAACAACTCCCTGTATTTCCTGACATATAATGAAGCACTCAGGGTTAATATTTCTCCTCTGGCAGACCCACCAGTTAAAGCACTAGTGTCTTTTGACAGGAAAAAAACATTGAAATGAAAGAAAACACAACATTTCTTCCCTGCATTTCCTTTGTTTTGGTACTGGAAAGCACAGCTCACCAATTTCTCTCACCTAACATGTTGTTTTCCATCATAGCAGAATTAATAGACTCTGTGGAGCATAAGGAAAATCTGAGATGATCTATGGAGACCTTATATGTTCTCATGCAGCAGAAAGATGGAAATTCTGCGTATTCATGGAGGGAATGTGCTGAAATCCACATCTGTTACGGGGTGTTGTTATGAGTCTCCACCTTTTGGCCCTCGGTCCCTAGCCTCACGTGCTGCAAAAATGATGCCCTGCTTCCCTTAATTACATTAACACAACCAGGTCCCAAAAAAGGGACATAGGCTGCTTTTTTTTGTCCCTTTCTCTTCTTTTCTGAAGGTGAAACTCCACTTGGACGAAGTCTCCATCAAAAAACCACCACCCTGCCCCGGCTGGTCCTTGTGTGCCCAGATGGATGTGCAATGATGCTCCTTCCCACACACTGGGATGTGGGCGTTTTCCCACTGCTGCGAGGCTGTTTTGAGGAAACCAGGGAAAGTGCCCGTCAGACCAGCAGAGCACGAGCTGGAGGCTGAATCTGGTGTCCAAGACGCCTCCCCAGAAGATGGACTATCTACATGTTGAGACATTGAGATCTCAAGACCACATCTTGGATGTGGTGACTCCCCTGTTGACTCTCCCTGTTGGCTCCCTGTGAGTATTCATTCACACTCATCAGAGCCAAAAGGGCCTTAATGAATGGTACAACAGATCTTACCACTGCCATAAAGAAAAGATATGTGGAAAGTCATTTTCCAACCAAAGAGCTCAAAGCCCATTATAAACATTGCCTTCTTCATGCAGTGAAATAGGGCTATATCCTACCGACAGGGAACATAAAGCCTTGAGAAAAGGTCCCAGAGCAAAAACGGGATGAGAACCAGTTCTCCCAATGCTGACAACTACTTCTCCCAACTTCCTGCTGGAAAGGAAACACCAGAAATTACAATACAAAACTACATAAAGTAATCTGCCAAACTAAGGATGTAATTGGACCCACCAGGACCATTAAATCCCAAAGACTGAGGACTGAAAGTAGTTAGGGTGTCAAAAGGAAATGAAACCCTAGACAATTGATTTGGTCTTTCTGCCTTGCATAAAGAGAAAGACAGGAAGGACTAGGTTTGTACTTGTGCAGAGCTGACAGGAAAGCATTCAGTGGACATCATTCTTCGTTAAACAAGTTCCCAAAGACTCCAAAACATCTCTCTAACCCTTGCATCATTGAAAACACGTGGGAGCTGCAGGGAAAGCCATAGAGCCCAGGCTGAGTGGTGAGATACCAAGTCTCGGAGAGCAGGCCTGAACTGAGGGAGACAGGGCTCATCCAGGACCCTGAAGGGCAAATAATCCTATAGCCATTAAATCAGATTTTGGATCATGTTGAGGTTTCTGCATTCCTTGTCTGTCAGCAAACAGGTCTTAAAGGCACTGGGAGGAAGAGAAGGGGTTGTATATTCATCCCGTGGGAAAGCAGAGGAAAGAATTATGTGACTATTTAATTAAAGGCTTCATCACAACGCATAGGGGCAGGTTTCCTGACAAGCCTCTGTTTTGGGATTTTGGATCCTCCCAGGGCCTCAGTTTAGGCAACTTTCAGAGCAAGGATGCTTGGAAGGAAAGCGTTGAGAGGACGTCAGGCTCCAGCCTGAATCACGCTTGACTCTGTGAAACCATGAAGCAAACTTTGGGTCAAAAAGCTTTCAGTCTTTTAGCTTTTGGCTTTTAGTCTCCAAGGCAGGATCTGAAGGACAGGAGAGTCACACGAGCAGGTCACAGTGGGGAGAGGATGGCAACGCTATCAGAACCCACACGAATCTGCCCAACTGGGAGCCTGTAACTCCGACTTGGCCCGTGGTAGTTTTCACAAGGAAAATCTTGCTTCCATGGGACACAGGAGAGAAGTTATTGAAAGAGTGAAGAACCAGACAGGGCATCTGCATATTCCCTCTTCACCTGGCTAGGCCAGGCTTTACCTGGCAAACTTGGAAGGCATTTTGGAAAGTTTCTACTTACTCTTTGCCTGTATGTGTTGAAGGATGGCAAGTCAAGGGTGTCTGTGTGGTGGGAGGATGGTTTCTGCACTTTATTTTAGCATTGGATCAGTCCTTTATTTTCTCCTTTTATTTTCTCTTTTATTTTGTGGCCAATTCTCATTTCCCCTGAGGAAGTGGGATTTCCACTGGGTGTAAGGGTGCAACACAGAGGGTGCTCCAGGGAAGGACACGACACTGCCGAGGGACTCCAGAGACAACACGCCAATATCTTTGGTCCTTTCTAAAGTCACAGACAACACCAGCAGTTGCTGCTTTTCCAGAGGCTCCTTCCAAGTTTTTCCTGTGGTAGAGCTTCGTAATGAGACGTTTGCCTCTATAGACAAACTCAGACATGCCAGATTCAGTCTTGGCTGGACGTGAATCAGCTGCCCTGCAATGTAATGGCAATTTTGCGCTCAACAGCAGTAGGAGCAGGACGGGGAACAAATTATTTTAACCTCTTATGTTTTAATGGGATTCCAGAACATTTGCCACAGATTCGGGCTGGGCTCCCGGCCAGCGGAGCAAGGAAAAGAGCAACCCAGAGCGTGTTGTCAAGCCAAATCAAAAGCAGCAGTGCCATTCAAAACGAACGACTGACCCCAAGTTAAGATCAGTACCAAGCAGGCAAATGCCACCACCGCTGCCCAATGGGAGCTAACCTGTATGTTCGGGTCCCACTGAGCAAATAACCATCCCCACGGTGAGCCATGTGCTCTCTCTGAGAAATTATTCTTGGCAGCAATTATTTTTCTGCCTGTGCTGAAGGACTGAGCTTAAGACAACAGGAACCAAATGTGTGTGACAGGATGGAGGGTCACAGTCTATGCCACCAACAGCTGACGGGGAGGATCTGCATCCCTGTGTGCTCAGAAACCTATTAATAATGGGGATATTTCCTTACAGAAAAGGCTGTGAGAAATTAGTAAAGAACAAGCCAAAATTTAGCAGCCTTTTGTGGAAAACAATAAAGATTTCAATGCCTGGCTCTGAGCTGTACTGGAGAGTTCAAAATTCACAGCTGCTCATTCTCCATTAAGTGCTGCGGGATGCTAAAGCCATTTTGGAAAGATGGCATTTCATTTCTAAAATAACTCGCTGCCTTTGTGCCTTTTTACCTTTATGTGACTTTTCCACATGGGAGGATCCCACTGGAGTTATTGCAAAATCCCGCAGATTGCTCTTTGATTTATCATTTCGCTGTTTCAACCCCCTGGGGAAAATAAAGCCTCATAAAACCCAGTGCTTTTCTCCAGGGATTCAGTCTTTCCCTTGCACTCAATGGGATTTTTGCCTGGGGGAGGAGAGGAAGGGGTGGTTACTGTGATTTGCTGGTTGGTGCTGAGCTGCTGGTTGGCCAGGCTGTGTCAGCACAACAGTGCCATGCTCCATGTAGCATTAAGGGAGAACAAAACCTCCATCTCCACCACCAAGGCAGCAATTATTAAACCCAGAAAATTAGCATCTAGGAGCAGGAAATGAAAGATATTTTTGTTTCAAGACAATCTGCGTCAGAAAGTAGGTTAGTAGAAGTGCTGTGCTGAGAGATAAACGTTCAGATGGCTTTTATTATTGTTACTGCTAGAGAGGTTTTGCCTAGGCTTGAAGCCTGGAGAACTTGTGAAGTGGTGACGTGCTCCAGGCTGAGAAAAATGGCATTGCTCCAATCCACCCTTCTTTTTGCAGTGTTTTGATCTAGCAGAGACCGGCCAAGAGGAGAGAGGAAGAACTTCTTCACTGAGGATGACAGAGACCTGGAACAGGCTGCCCAGGGAGGCTGTGGAGTCTCCTTCTCCGGAGATCTTCCAAACCCACCTGGATGACACCCTGTGCTCTAGGTGTCCTTGCTGGAGCAGGGGATCGGACTAGATGATCTCTAGAGGTCCCTTCCAACCTCAACCACTCTGTGATTCTGTGAAGAGAGGCACAAGCCGCTGCCTGCCGGCCTGTGGTGCTGAGACCCGACAGGTCCCGCTCCAGGCTCCCTGGTGCTCCTCACCTTCACTTGGCTTGGACAAGTGACAGGTTGTTGAATCAGCTGCCTAAAACACTGCTGAGAGGTCAGTGTTTTGGGGTCGAGCCCCTCCTTGCCCTGCCGATTTCCACAGTGATCCCAAGGAGCACTTTGGAGAAGGACTTTTCAGTTCTGCCTGTTCTGCTGGGTCCGTGGAGAGAGGCCAGCGTGCTATGGAGAAATGCACAGTACCAGCACAAGTTTCCCTAGGGCAGCAGGCCTGGAGAGGCTCCTGTGGGGATGCTGACAGCAGCTCAGCCACGATGCTGCTCGGGGTGGTGCGTGCAGTTTTCCTGGACCTGCTGCCCAGGTGCACAGAGGGCTTTTGTGGTGGCACCACTAGGTCAATGTCATGATGGTGAGCAGGAAAAAACAAACTGCTCCCTGGCATCCGCTGCCAGCCATTCCTGAGGATGTGTTTCAGGTTCCCAGTGCCTCTGGCAGAGCAGAGGTTGCTTGTTTTCTTCTGGTCAATAGCTGTGGACTGACTGCACAAAAAATAGAATTAAGGAATCTGTCAGGCTGAAAGGCCAACAAAGCCATCGTGCCCCAGCCTGCAGGCACGCTCAGCTCTCCCGGGAAATTGAGTTATCCGGAGGGCTTTCACTAATGACGTTGGCAGGTATCAAGATGGACATTAGGCTGGTATAAATCACAGCGGTGCCTTTGGCTTTGCTGGATCCCCACTGGTTAGATGGAGGATCCGGCACGGAAATCCGCTTGTCACTGCCTTGTGGCAGGAGCTTGGAGCACTGGGGCCTCCGAGACCAGTCACAGCCCCGGAGAGAGGCTGCAACCACCACCAAACCCAGCAACCTCCAAAACCTGCCCTGGTGCGGCGGGAGGCAGGGTCGCTCTCCCTGCAAGCAGCACCAAAACGTCTGTGGGGAGCGAGCCCGTTTGGGCCCCTCATCCTCCACGAACGCCTCAGTGCCGGCGGAAAGGCAAATACAGCCGAAAGGTTTTCCCTGCGTCCCGCCGTCGGGGTGGCTCCCCAGGCACACGCGGCTCGCGCGATGCCGCTCCCGCCGTGCCCGGGGGCAGCCGCCTGCCTGGGCCCCACTGCTGACCTGCACTGTGGCTGCTGTGGGGTAGGGAGCCCATCAGCATCGCGCTCCCGTGACCTGGGGGAGAGACAGACAGTCGGGCAAAGAGAGGAGGACCCAAGGGGAGGAAGGCTCGTGTGAACGCCCTCACGGGGGGCACCCCGTTGGGCGGCACCTCAAGACACGGAGGTGCCGCTGCTCGCGTGCCCGCCGGCCCCGGCCTCTCCGCGTGCCCGGGGCACCCACCTGCAGGAGGAAATCGAAGAGCGCCAGGCGGCTCCACTCGGCGTGCGCGACGCCCACGCAAGGCGCCCGCCCCGGCGCCGCGCCGCCGCCGGCACCGCAGCGCTGCCGCAGCAGCGCCTGGTACTGCAGCCAGCCCAGGGCGAAGGAGTTCTGGTCGTTGTCGGCGTCGTGCAGGTGCCGCACGTCGGGCGCCCACCACACGACGGGCCGCGGCGCGCCGTCCGTGTAGCGGTAGGGCAGCAGGTGCCCGCCCAGGCGCCGCGCCACGGCCGGCAGGCTCCTGTTGAGCGCCAGCACGCGGTCCAGGTGGAAGGCCAGCACCTCGTAGAGGTCGCCGGGGCGCTTGGCGAGGCCGCAGAGCCCGGCCGCGCAGTCCCCGTCGGCGGCGGCAGCGCCCATGGGTGCCCGGAAGCCCACGCGCAGCACCTGCCCGTGCGCCGGCACGCGGGCTTTGGACACCACCTCGGCGCCCGCCAGCAGCCGCATCTTCTGCACGTCGTCCGCGGAAAACCACGGCGGGATCTCCTCGCCGAACCGCAGGCTGCCTTCCTGCAGGGCGCCGGGCACGGGGACCAGCGTTCCCGGACACCTCGACGTGGTGGCCGAATGTCTTCCCACACGCAGCCCCATGGGATGCAGTGAGGCAGCTTCGTCGCCTGTCCTCGGGAGCCGCGCTCTGGGCCGATGTGAAGGAGGCCGCCCAGGCTGGATGCCAGGTCCACAGGGCGCAGAAGTGTTGGAAAGGGGCCTGCCGGCCACCGATGAGCATCCCTCCTTCCCAGGAAGCCGCCTGGAAGAGGAAGGGGCTGCCAGGGGCCTCTGGAGTCCGCGAGCACCGTCCTCTGCGTCACGCCGGTGGACGTGGCCACGACGCTCCTCTCCCATCTCAGCACGGAGCAGGATGTTCCCGTTCCTCCTCCTCCCACGGGACAGCCGCTGGACCGTCCCACGCCGGCTGCTCGGCTCCTCTGCACCCCCACGGGGCCAGGGGGGCTCGGGGCCCACGGCGAAGCCCCCCAGGTGGGGTCCCGCCGCCTCCCACGGGAGCCGAGGCCGCGGCGACGTGCCCGGCGGGGAGGCGGCCTCGCCGGGAAGCCGCGGGGCCAGGCGGGCGAGCGCCAGCAGGGCCAGGGCCAGCAGCAGGGCCGGGGCCGCGGCCGCCGCCGGGGGTCTCAGCGCCGCGCGCCGCCACGGGCGCTGCGCCTGCCGGGCGAGAGGGGCAGAGCGTTACCGCGGGGGGCGGGATGCCCCTTCCCCGTGCCCACAGCTCGGTGTGTGTCCTGCCCCGCGCCGCTCCGCGCTGAGCCCATGGACAGGGCTGCCGGCTGGCTCGGCAGGCTGGAGCGCTATTAAGTGCCTGGCACGGCCGGAGCTGGACCGAGTGGCACGGCTCAGCGGCCTGGCAGCGTCCTGCCAAAAGCAACCTTGCTCTGTAGCCAAAATCAGATGGTTTCTCCTTAAAGTAGCTCCCCAAAAATGGCTCTCCTCCCCACAACCCCTGCCTGTGCCCCTGCCTTCTCCTCCGGCAGAGCCTGAGCAGCTCTCACTGCATCCCCGCTGGCACCGCGGTGCCACCGTGGCCAGTCCCGAATGTGGCCTCCTCATGGGCATTGCTTATCGGAGCGCCTTGAAAGATTTTTTTGCTTTAAAAACATAAAGGGTTTGCTCGGCAGGACAACGGCGCAGGCTCAACCACTCTCCCGCCCAGCCAAGCCCAGTTTTGTGTGTCCTGGGCTACGGCCACGAGCAGAGAAAACGCGAAGCACGAGGGAAAGCGCCAAGGAAAGCCAAGCTGCAAGCAGAGCGTGTGGGTTCAGACGCGCTCACGGGGTGCAAATGAAACACGGTGCGAAGAGAAACGCGGATCCCTGCTGCCAAACACTTGGTGAGAAAGCAGCATTCCCATCTGAGCTCTGTCTCCTGCTCCGTGTAGCCACAAGGAGCAGCCCCAGGAAAGCAGCCCCTCGCTCCGGCACCTCACGGCGTCCAAGGCGCTCGCTCCTTCTGCCTGCCGGGTAGATGGGGAACCCAGGGAAGCATGGGGGGTCTCAGCAGGGGAAGGAGGGCAGCCCATGGCAAGGGATACGCCGGCAGCACAGTGGCCACAAGCAGGGGCTGGTTCCTCTTCGCCTTGCGATTATTTACTGTGGAAGCACAAATAGATTTGAGGCAGATACAGCACCAAAGAAAGGATAAGAAAGTGTTTATAAGAAGAAAAACTTGGGAATAATAATACTAAAAAAGCTCCGGTTGGGAAAGCCAGCAGCCAGAGTCACTTCCAGAAGACTGTTCTGCATGAAGAAACATTTCCATTAAAGGGGTTTTTCCCTACCAGCTCCGGGGAAACACCACAAGCAAGACGGACCCCTAAGGCTGGGTGACTGCAGGGTATGAGCTGATTTAAGGCAGTCTATAAGAGCCGGTGATGTCGCGCCTTTGGAGGGTGGTTATGGGCAGGATTGCTAAAGCTGGGTGTTAATTGCCCGCAGCATCATAGAGCACGGCCTAATTATTGCCTTAGGCACATATGCAAGGAGCACAGCTGAGAAAAGTTGTGCATGAGAGTCGTGCTCGGTAAGGTGGGGAATGATGGAAAAACTGCAGGAAAATCCCTCTTGAGCCACAGAGCGGACGGCAGTGCCAGCCACGGAGAGCCAAATGGGCGCAATGATTCCCATTTCTTTTAATGTCAAGTCTATTTACCAAGCAAGCGGCTGAAGCACCACGAGTGTCCAAGAGCACTTTGTCTTTCTGTCAGCGCGCTCTGCTCTGGGCACCAGGAGTCCCACTCGTTTCTTTCCAACATCGAGCCTAAAACCACATGCTGTGGAGCTGGGCGAGAGCCCTTCCACACTCCCCTCCTCAGCCCTTTTTCAGGGAATCAAGTTTTCCTTGCCACATTAACAATAAAAAAAGGAAAAAAAAGAGTGCAAGTACAGTCGTTATGTTATTCCTGGCAGCCAAGAGCACAAGTTTAACAACAATCTAGGTGATATAACATTGCACAAGGAGTGTTGTATTTACAAGCCCAGGGTAAATATTCTTCCAGAGGGATTTTCTTTGAGCCCATGCTGTAAAAAATGCTCCAGTTTAAGCTATGGCTTCAATTGAGCCTGAAATGAAAGCCATACGTAAGGCTCGGCTTTGCCAGCGTGACAGCCTGACAGTACAGCGTGTCTTCTCTGGAAATTAGGTACGTTTCCCAGCAGGCAGGCCACAAGCCAGGCCCATAGCACAGCTTAAGAGAGGCACTGCTAGTTTTTTTTCCAAAATGCCAATGAGCGAGCAATATTCCTTCTCATCGGATGGAAATACGGCAGGAAATCCATGGAAATCCACGGGCTCATGGATGCAGCGTGAGGAGCCCGTGCAGCCTGGCCGCCTGGGAATAAAGCTTCCCAAGTGCAGCTCAGGCCGTGTGTTCCTTGACATTTCGTTGCCAAAGTGCTCGAAACTTGGCAGAATTTGCAGCAGAGAAGTCTGTTTGCAATTTCTTCCCAAAGAGCACCAAATTGGCTGGGTTGGTCTTGAAGGGGGAAAAAAGATATTCAGAAATGTAAGGAACAAACTCAAAGCTAACGGGATGCAATGGGAACAAGCAGGACCCGTCCCCCTTGGCCAGCGAGGGCGCAGGGAAGGAGGCTAAGAGCAGACACCGTACGAGGCAGCACCGGCCTCCCGGGCTTCGTGTCGGTCGCTGGATCCAAAACACAATTTTGGTTCAGGGCAGCAAGGAAACAAAATCGCTTCTCTCCCAGCGCGGAAGAGGAGCGCACGGGAAGCCTTGGCAGAGCCTGTCGCCTGCGAGTCAAGCGCTTAAGTGCCTTCCTATATCATCCTGCTCCCACAGGATGGATGGAGAGGGAATTTACTTAAGACAGCGGCTAAATTAAGGCTGCCAGGAGCAAAGGTAGCCCTGGCTGGAAAGCCGAGCGCTGGGTTTACAAAGCCTGGAGTAGCCCAAGGCCCTAGCTCTGCCCACCACGAACCACGTCCAGGCTACAGCACCGCTGCTCCGTGGGCGCTGTGGACACCGTGGACAAGGGACAGCCCTCCGTGCATGTCTAAAACGGCCACAGCTCCAACCAGACCTTGACCCCTCGCTCCCTACTTTGCTGTGGGCTGACACTAAGCCAGCAGCCACCCTCCTTGTGCCCGCCCAAAGCTCTCTGCTGCCTTGGGAGCATCCAGTCCATGGGGACACATCTGCAGGGTGGATGCAGCCCCCTCATCATCACCTGAGACAGAGAAAACCTGTAAGCCCTATAAAAGGCAGGCTCAGCAAACCAGCATCTGGAAACCTGGGAGAGGGAAATCCAAGATTCAGTCACTGCTGTCGGTTCGTCCCTTACAGCAGAGCACCTCTAGCTGGCACACGAGTCTTTAGGAATTTGGCCCCAAACCAAAGCAGAAATCAGCAGAGTCAAATTGGCTAAGCTGAAACTGTAGAACAGTGCTCACCCTGACCACACTCAGCATGGACTTTAAAAGAATGGTGCCGAAGTTCTTCTCTTGACTTGTAAAATAATGCTGCATGCACATTTCTTTTTGCCTTTATCCTTCTCTGCTATTACTGCAACACTAGAGCAGCAAACTATAGAAAAAAAGCTGAAATCCTAGAGCTTCTCAAGCTTTCTTTAATAATAACTTAGCATGACATTAAGTCCCCATGTCCTGCTTCTGCCACCTTAAGCATTTTGCTTCTCAGTGATGAGATTCCCATTTCTTGTTCTCCAGATTGAGAATTGATGGATTTTGAGGGAGTTTTCTCACATTCGAGGCACTTCTCTGCCCAATCCAGGCTGTGCACTGGCTCTGCTCACTGACTTCTTTATCCAAAATAGCATTTCATACAAAATCTTCAGCAAGTGTTGGAAACAGCTCTATGTAAGAAGGAAAATCCAAGCAAATGTACGTAACAGTGTGTAGTCACATACGCATAGTCCTGTTACAGTGACTAGTTCCAATAGCCTTATAGATCAAACCTACATTGGCTGTTTATGCCCCCAGAACTAAGATTTTAATTCATGTGGTATTGACTGGATGAAACACAGGTTTATAAAACACCTTCAATGTTTTATAGCAGTTTTATAGCAGTTTTATGGCAGTGATCAGCCTTCAAGAGTGCCTGCCCTAACCTGAGCAACCTGCCAAAGGAGGATGGGGATGAGACGACCCAGCTGAGAGCTCCACACAGGAGCTGGGCAGCCCAGGCTTTGCAATAGGCTGAGAGCTGGGCCTGCTCAGCCCGGAGAAGGGGGGATATTGTCAATGGGTATCAGCATTTGAAAGAAGTATTTGGAAGAACTTAAAAGACACAAAGCTGTGGGGTGCAGCTGATGATAAACCCAAGCCCAAACCTGATACTCAGAGAGACCTGGAGAGGAAAAGCTAGATGTCCCACCCCCAGGACAGACTAATGGTGGGACTCGCTGTTCTTATGCTGATAGTGTCCTTGATCATAAATTATGTGATTTTTCACTGGGAAAAAGACCCGAAAGACTCATAATTCTTCTCACCTCTCCTGCACAAATCTCTCAGCCAGGAAAAAGTTAATATTCAGATCTGTGATTGATGGAAAAGGTACTGTTCATCCCAATGCTATGTATGTCGTAACTCAAAACCCATAG